AAAAGCGTACCTCATTTAATACCTCTCATTGGAGAGCTGTACCTCATCGAAAATCATCGGACAGTATCTGACGACACCGTCCCGTACACATTCCGACAATCAATTTGCCAGTTTTTATTCCGCAATCCCTGAAAAGAATGAACACGGAGATGTGTTTCTCAGCTTACGTATATATGAAAAGTGTTCATCCCACAATCATAAGACAATCAAACAGCATTCAAATCAGACCAACACACCACGCGCGATTCGCTCGGCTACCATGTACTTACAAACTAAACGCATGCTTTGAGGGAAATTAGTGATTAAATGACCCCGCAAACCTCGGGAGGTTTAGTAAAAGTAAACCTTCCTCGGTTTGCGGGGACATTTAATCACTAATTTCCCTCAAAGCATGCGATTACTTATAATAATTAAAAACCCAACATATTCTTCAACCCAACAACTTTTGTTTTGCGAAATTGAGAGCAATTTCAAATCTGTACAGTTTACACCCTGTATAGTACAGAGTATATATGTTTTAATTAAAATTAATATATCAACATTTCATTCCGTAATGCGGATGCAATTAATTTTTGAGTGTTGACACTAGCACCAGGATAAATTAAATGAGAAAAACTGTTTAGATATTAGATTGATCATATGGAAATACTAGGATGTCATTAGATCATGATCGGATATATTCTTGGGGGACAGCTAGGTTGTTTAATTAAAAAATTATTTCAAAAACTTTCATCATGACCTGTAATGGCGTCAACCGCAGTCGAGCCATATGCATCGTAAAGGCCCTAGGGAGTTACAGAATGATTACAGAAACAACATCCTCCATGAGTAATTAGAGCATTTCACGTATACTGCACATATGTTACTTAATTAGTCTTAGTAATGTCATTGTCATCTATAATTTACCGAGTTTGACTAATGGTCGCGGGTCGCGTGTCGCGGGTAAAAAGTCGCGTGTCGTGGGTAGAATGTCGCGGGTCGCGGGTAAAATGTCGCGGGTAAAAAGTCGCGGGTCGTAAAAAGCTCCAAACCGTGTATTTTATTGAGTCGCGGGTTGAATAAAGTGTGAAAAAATCACGTTATCATTTAGTAAACAACTATATAGGATTGCTTCAATACGAAATATTGCCCAAGAGCATTTTGTCATGATTTAATGAGTTTGACTAATGGTCGCGTGTCGCGGGTAGAATGTCGCGGGTAAAATGTCGCCGGTAAAAAGTCGCGGGTCGTACAAAATCTCCAAACCGTGTATTTTATTGAGTCGTGGGTTGAATAAAGTGTGTAAAAATCACGTTATCATTTAGTAAACAACTATATAGGATTGCTTCAACACGAAATATTGCCCAAGAGCCTTTTGTCATGATTTAATGGTTCTATATAAACGTGCCAGAAGCCTAAAACTTGAAAGAATAATTTCAATATGTTAAACCAACAATTATACCATGACAAAAATCCTCTAATCAAAAAAATATGTTCTGAATGAAACAAACAAGACTTTGGTAGAAATAAATTCAGTTTACCACTACTATTACAATCAGTTTTATACCAATTTAAAAACAACCATATAGTATCACAAATAATAGATATATCCATGCTAGGACATTATACTGAAAGTACATTATGATTCACCAACAACCCGGATATTTAAATCGCTGTTCTCTAGCACTTATTTCTGGAAAGTACTGATCGATGCGCAGAGCAGTTGATGACAACGCGCACTGAGCCACTGAATAGCGGATTTTTACGCCTGATATGGTAGAAATTGGGTGGTAATATGTATTACTAAAATCAGGACTATAAACATAGGAATGTGTAACAGAATCCTTTTGCACTACCGTCTATCAACGTGCTTTACAATAATGTTATATGGTTCTTGTCTATATTTATCTAGAAACTCGCAATATTGCAGCCATAACATCTTCGTTAAAAACCGTTAAATAACTAAATGTTAATGTGATTTTTACACACTTTATTCAACCCGCGACTCAATAAAATACACGGTTTAGAGCTTTTTTACGACCCGCGACTTTTTACCCGCGACCCGCGACTTTTTACCCGCGACACGCGACCCGCGACCATTAGTCAAACTCTAATTTACCTGATGTATCGTGCACAGGTTCCTCGTGGTTGTCATCATCCAATTCCAATTCTCCGTCAAGGAATTCTACAAGGTTCATTGCAATATATATTTTAATAATTTTATCTTCATAGCCATAGCCATAGGTCCAGTTTCTACTTTTGTGTGAAAGTAGATAACTATAAGTAAACGTATAACAACCTTGCGCTCACGCATGGACACTGAATTATTTGAATACGTTGAAATTTAGTTAATTATATGGTTAGTTAACAGCATCTACAGTTTATTTCAATTCCGCGATTTAAAAGATAGACAGACGGACATATATAGTTTATTTTTTTACTCTTTAAAACGTTTAATTTAGGTTTACGACAGATTTTAAAAGTTGCATGAAGAAATTTTTAAACATGCATGACTAATGGTCTAAAAATGTTCAATTCGAGACACTTTATAATAGAAAGCTTTATAATATGATAACAATAACAAGGTCAAGGAATTCTTGCTCTTTTACATGACAAGTGACAACCATATTGAAAATTATAGATACATTAGTTGCTTACCATCTGAGAAACTGGGGACAAAATTTTGATGCTTGTCGTCATTTTGATCTCCTGTAACATCTAAATGCGATTCATGTTATTATAAACTATATTGAAGTATTTTTTATATATTCGAAGAAATGAACTAATAGTAATAAGTCCAAGAATGTCAATGAAATTACCCGATTCAAAATTTTCTCTAATTTCGCGACTGAACAACTCATTATAGGACACTGAAAATCCCTCAAATGAAACAAAACAATGATTCCTGCAAAAAGAAAATAGGTCATATAACTTGTGTTTAATATTGCTGAGATCCATGCATGCAGGCAATAAATGTCATTTCTTTGACCGCAAGTTGAACAAACTTCGAGAGTGGTCATCAGACGTCACACAAAGAAATTAAACTGAATTTACTATGTCTATATATTTAATATCTATATTTTAATTACTTACATCAGTAAGGGACGGTAGCCATCTGTATAATCTTTTCTCCATGTAGACAACATTGGTCACTTCAATAAGATCATCAGCAGCGGCTATAGCCTCAAAATAGTAGGAAGCGTTTCCTTTGCCTTCAGCTATCATTGAGCGACCATACGAGACTTTGCAGTCCTTACATCGAAGTACCAGTTTCGCGCACTGTTTAGGGCCAGTGATTGTATACAAAGTACAGCTGCTCCGAGGATTTGGAGCTGACAAAATGGATCCACATCTCAAGCAGTCCTCCACTGGAGGCACGATGAAACCACCAAAATTTAATTTCTCTCTTTTGCTGAGGGTACATAAGGCTTCCTCAAAAACAGCAGAATAATTTCCCAAGAAAGGGCTTTCAGGCGCAAATTCTTCCAGAAAACAAACAATATCGTCAACCAATGTCACTGAAAACCGGCAGGGGCATAAGTGATCGATTATTGTAAAAATAATGTTGCAGCGACTATTTTTGTATCTCGCGAAGGTTTTGGGTACATGTCTGATTGCTAACATAATCCACATAATTGCGTCGAATCCGAACATAAACGCGAGCAAGCCAACTACATCGAAGTTTACATGTTTCTTTAAACTTCTCAGACTATCCGTAACCTGCTCTAATACCAGTTGACCTTTTAAGGTATTTATATGGTTTAAAAGCTCTTTTCTCTCTTGGATTTTTCGCAAAATGGCTTCAGCAGAAAAGTCGACTTTTGCCGTTTTCGAAGCCATGCTTTACAGTGCCTGTTTATTTTGTTTCGCGTGCAGACCACATCACCAGAAATTTGGGACAAGATGGCGATGGACATGCGCACTTTGCCTTAATATGGCGACCGAAAATTACTATAAACAGTATAGGAGTTGACAAAAATATAAAATTTTAACCTACTTTGTTTAAATATTTCATTACTGTGGACTTCGATAATAACAACGACATGAACAAGCAACATTTCTACATAAAGTTTGTTAGCATATGTTTACGTCTAGGTGGTTCCCGAGATACACGTACTTCCACTGGCAATTCCATCGAGTTGATAGTGTAATTTTATAGTAAATCGCTTATACACCAGATAGATATCCGTCGAATAATGTAGTATCCTTTCGGGCGATTCAAGCTGTGGACTTCGCGATGTAATTGTCGATGTTCAAACAGTTAATTTATCCAAAAACAATGCTAGTTAATCCACGACAAACCGGTTCCAAAATCGTTTAAAAGTTGGCCTTTTTTACGGTTCTTGTATGTCGCCATTAGGCCATCTTAATATCCAAAAACGACAAGTTTTAATACAAATTTGAGCTGTTTCGAACAGCCATGTTTCTTGTTTATTTTGCAAGACTAGATCCAGGCTCTCACACGTAAAAACACAGGGATATTTTAGGATTTTTTAGGATATTTGCCATATTTTTAGTCTTGATAAAAATTTGCGGGGTTAAAGGTCAAAATACCGGAAGTGCTCAGCAAAAACTGCAAAATATAGTTTAAAATCACAATTTTTGGCTGAATAATACTTGAATTGGAGATTTAAAGTAAAATGCGAAGTCGTTTTACTTATGTTAGGCAATGTTAGGCATATAAAACGGACTTAGCCGCTGACTACAAAAGCGGGAGCAAAATGTCCCATATTTCTGGTAATGAATTTCTGGCATGTAGATCTCCCGTGGCTACTCGCAACTACGCGTAGTTTCACCGCCAGCATCCTTAGTATATTTGACATATCTGGCGTGTATATTAATTGCGTCAATTAACACTGTAGTTACTTGTTATATGAATATAATGCAGTATAAACTATACAACTGCGCGTTTTCAACACAATAATTATAAATGCGTGTAACACGTTGTCTGGTACTTATCAGACCCTTATATGACATGTCGGTACGTGGAACACTATACCATGCAGGCTACTACGCAACTACGCGTAGTGACACAGTAGTAGCGAAAAAATGGTTCATAAAATTCGCCGCTCATGGTACAAAGAGTGAAAGGGATCTCCTGGCACACCCAGTACGAATGGGCGGTCTTGGCCTTATAAATCCTAGACAGGATGCAGCACTGCAGTACGAAATGTCGATAAAGACCACAGAGCCACTGGTAGATAAAATTATCGCACAAGCCTACGAAATTCCAGATGACTCTGTTATTCACACACTGCAGCACAATGAAAAGAACGAAGTACTTCAGGCTAAACTGGATGGTATTAAGAACTCTCTACCCCCGAAAACACGGCGTGCTATGGAACTAGCAACTGAAAAGGTGCATCCAACTGGCTCACAGTTATCCCCATTAAAGAAATGGACTACAATCTGAACAAGGGTGAGTTTCGAGACGCAGTAAAGCTGAGATATGAGTGGAAAATTGCTGATAAGTCATCAGTATGCGTGTGTGGCGATACTTTCAATATTGATCACGAATGATCTGCAAGCGAGGTGGGTTCATCATACAGCGCCACAACGAGCTCCGAGATCTTGAGGCTGATATGCTTAACATCGTCTGCAATGATGTCGAGGTTGAACCCGTTCTTCAAGAGTTAACTGGCGAGGTTTACCAAGTGGAGAAAATACAGCATCCGACGCTCGCTTAGATATCCACGCTCGAGGGTTTTGGGAGAAAGAAAGGTCCGCGTTCTTTGACGTTAGGATTTGTCACCCCAAAGCGGAATCCTACAAAGACCTGAGCCATCAACAGATATACAGGCAACATGAAAACGAGAAGAAGAGGATGTATACCCAAAGAGTGATGGAGATAGAACACGGAACGTTTACACCATTAGTATTTACAACGACTGGAGGCATGAGTGAAGAGTGCAAGAGGTATCATAGCAGATTGGCCAAGCTCATAGCAGCAAAGAAAGGCGAAGACTACTCTACGACCATGTCCTGGATACGAGCCAAGGTCTCCTTTGCTATCTTGCGGTCAGCTCTACTTTGTCTCAGAGGGACTAGAGCACCCAGGAGGATAACAACGAACGTTCAAGAAACGGACTTCGAAGTAGACAATTCTCGTGCCAAAATTTAGGCTTAGACTTTTACCATAAATTCTTACTATAACATATACTATAACATACTACAACAATTTAGACTGACTTCCTTGTATATACTAGTAATTAGTTATTAATGTAGAAGGATTATTTTATAAATACATTTTTTATTTTATAATTATTATTATTATTATTATTATTATTATTATTATTATTATTATTATTATTATTATTATTATTATTATTATTATTATTATTATTAATATTATTATTATTATTATTATTATTAATATTATTATTAATATTATTATTATTATTATTATTATTATTATTATTATTATTATTATTATTATTATTATTATTATTATTATTATTATTATCATTATTATTATTATTATTATTATTATTAACGACGGATAACTCTGCAGATACCCCTGAAAATGACAATTCTATTAACGACATTGATATGACTAATGACGAAAGTTTTCCCGAACTGAAACAAAGCATAAATTTACCTAAAAATGACTCTGGGTGGCAAACGGCTAATGATTATTTTAAATGTGCGCTCCAGTTAAATGATCCAATCCGAATGCAAGACGTAAAGACAAAAATCAAGCTTTTAAACGACGTTATATATAACTACTTTTGAGAATTTATCTATTCGGGCAAAATTGTCTTGTCTTTTGTGCAACGACGGTCTGGTGATTAGACGAATATATTGATCCATAAAGCGGAAGAGAAATATTATTTGAACAAGTTCAACTTTTACAGGTTCAATCATGAACTGTAAATCTGTAATGGAAACGTTTCACTATGTTTGTGTATATTTATTAATACCATGGATCGCATAGCTGGATTCAAGCGTGTTGCGTCAGATTAACCTTTATTAAAGGTCAAGTGCTCTAACTTAACCGGATTTGGTTCTGATTTTTACTCGCATACCACAGACGTAAATCGCCAACAACGAAGGAACAATTGCTATGGCTACTAATAAAATGTCCCTACTGTATTCATGCCTATATTCATCAGTTTACCTAGCATAATGTAGGCTATACAACTATTAAACTATATAAGTATATAGTATATAGCTATACATATTGCGAAGGTGCGGTGTCATAAGTGTGGGTAGAACAATACAATCGGATCAGTAATGTTTATCTCATTTGATAGCATAACCATTGATTGCGTAAATACAGTTCTCTGAAAGTAGATACTACATTATAATTGACATTGACGTAACCGTACAAATACTGCGCAATGGCCTAATGTGACTAATTTTGGACTTTTAGATAGACAAAAAAGTGCCCGATTTTTTTACAATCATTACGTATCGTACGTCACAAAAATCAAGACATATTTTAAACAGAACTAAATAGTTGCTAATCCAGGGTTAACATGGTTGTCAACGTCGTTGTTATGGTCAATATTTGCCTGTTGTTCAACATTAGTTAACAAACCTCCTACATACATATATACTGTTAATTTAAGATGACCAAGTCAGATCATCAGAAAGCTTATCAAGAATACTTGCAGGAAAAAAGTTTAAGAACAGTTGTAATATATTTTGTCATAACAAATAAATATTTTTTATTAAATATGCCGTCGTTATATACGTTGCTATGTGTTGACAGTCATTAGCGACGCTTGGGTGCATGCATATATTGCAAAAACCTTGACGACGCCGCAGTTCAAATACATGGCTACTCCTTGATACGTCGTGATAGAAAATCTAAGACTGGACGAGGTATGTGTGTGCTTATATAAGTCACAGATCCCCTTAAAATTCTAACTTGAGACCTCACAAAGTGTTCCGAGGATTCTCTTGTTTGGTTGTCTGTGTGGTTTACCACCCACCATCCAGCGACAACAACACACTAATCGAACACCTTACCATAAAGCTTGGTTACTTTGCGCAGAGGTTTCAGGAATTTCAAAAGAAGAATCAGCCATCTTATTTTTGAATGACCAAAACCGGTTTAACTGATGAGAATATAATTTGCTTTTTTTTCCACGGCGCTAAGCTGTGGCGGTTCCATGATTTCTTTCATTCGCTGCTCGGCATCATACATGGCATTTAGAAACGGTGATTGTCGATACGACTGTTTTTGTATAAACTTTGCAATCTCACCGCGAAGTATATTCGTTTTAAAGCGATCTTGGTCACAGGTTGTTGGATCCAACACCAAATACCTGTGAGGTCGGCTCGCAGCATCTGCATAACTCCTCGTAAATTCTTGTATTTTCCCGTGATTTACTTGTCTGGCAAGCTTAGAAATTTGTTGTTTATCTTTGGGTACCTAGAACAACACGATATAATGGGCATTAAGGCTGATATTTCTCATTTATTTGCCCTATGAAATATATTTTGGACAATATAGATAATAGACAAATTTCAATGATAACTTCCTTTCGTAAAAAGATCAGCTATACGTTTCTCCTTGCTAGATTGTGCCATGAGCTCGTTCAATACGATCAAATTCCGCTGAGATGCGTCCAAGTAATCTGCGTTGTCGATATCGTTGGGAATACCTTGATTAAACTCAATTGCAGGCATCATCCCCATCATATCAAAATAGGACGGATACCATTGACCATAATACCAAATGATAAGTTGGGGAGCAGGGGTTATAGTCGTTTGAGCATTCTCCAGGAGAGATTTCACCTATACGGTTTTGTCGCTTTGTGTACAACCCGCAACGATGCACGTGAAAGGATGCTGCATGACTGTAACTCCGTTCACCGTAAGAGTTTGTTGCTCAAGATTACGAATTCCATATGCATGGACAACCTTCTTGTGGCGAAGGAGATTACTCGCGTTTGCGAACGTTTTACCGCAGATGTCGCATTCATAAGACATGTTTACTTCGCAAGAGTCAGAGTAAAATGATTTAAAGCAAGGGTGAAAAGATATATTTATCCCGTTGGTTATCTTCACGACTATGAAAACTGTGGTGAAGACTATTGTCATGACTAGTAAGACCATTGTTATGACTATGAAAACTATAGAAAAGACTATTAAGACTATAGTCATGACTATTAAGTCTATAGTCATGACCATTAAGACTATGGTGAAGACTATTAAGACTATATCATGACTATTAAGACTGGGTAGTCTTAATAGTCATGATATAATGCATCCAAAATGCATCCAAAAGCGCCAATATGCGATACGCGGTGGGCAGCGGTTTTCGTTTCAAAAGTATTCAAAATATGCAAGTTACATGAAGTATACCGAGCGAAACTTTCAAAATGGCGGGCGAACAGAGTGGAAAGATTAGGACTATAAAATCGACTATTGACGTAGTTTTACAAGAAGTTGTTTGCCACAATGCTGGAAATGATGCGAGGAAAATAAGGGATGCCTTGTGCACAGTGGCCGTAGAATTGGAGCTGGACTCCGACTGAAAGTCGTTCTGCCGATCTCTCAGTTGGCATATTAATAAAATGGCATGCTGCGGAAATTTTGGCTAGCTCGGCAATGCCCTGCATTGTTTCGGCATGAATCGAGATTATGGCTGTCAGCAATAGGTCGTCGACTCAGCGGAAAGCGGAGTAGTAGACATCCATTTCATTGTGAAATATATCGAGATATAAAGATATTCCCTTAGAGCTATTTTCCATGCAGGGATAGGAGATTGGTGAAAACCACTCCTGAGTATTGTGAGCCTTTTTGCTTTCCTTGGGAAAAACAAAAATAATTATTTATAAACAGTAAGATTTCTCTTACTTTTATACAGCAATGCTCTAAAATCAGTAAAATGTAAATACAGCAAGTAAAATATTGTTGCATTTTAGAGCATTGTCCTTTTAACCAAGATATGATCACCACCATCTACATATAACTACAGTATATTTTTTCTTTCACCCATCTCAATACACCCTTTAGGTAATTAAATCACAAATACCCCTTTGGTCTATATATAAGGCACACTCATAAAAAAATAAATTCATGAACAAAAGGTTTCCTGGACAAGGAAGGAGTTGTGACATAAATATCAAAAGAGTGCATTCCAAGGAAGACAAATTTTCAAGGAATATGTTGATTTATTTCACTATAAAACAGCATTCTACAATATTAAATGAACTAGGAAATGTTTCTTTTTCTCACCTGCAATATTGATTTCATTTCTCATGACAAAAACATTTGCCAGAAATGATTTATAGCATACCACCTGCTGACAGCCATAATCATGTCACATGTTGCAACAGTGCTAAGACACTGAATATCATGACAACAACATGGCTGGGAATATGTTTGAATCTATTCATTTCTAAAAACTATACCCTTATTACACACATTGGACACAGTTTCTTGTTTGAATGATTTTATTCATTGTTAGTGGGATATAGATAAATATGTAGACCACTGTTTGTTTATGATGCTCCTCTTGCTTGATCGCAGTGGGAATCGAACCCACGACTGTTGGTTTTCTTACCGACTTGATACCCAGTTGGTAGAGCATTGGACTAGCAAACCAAAGGCCGCGGGTTCAATTCCCACCGCCGTCAAGCAAACTCTTCTGCTTGCCCGGTGTTAACACACTCAAAGTAACATCAGTACCAGTGTATGCGACACCTTATAATAATACAAAGTTCTATCTATCAGGATACTAGCATGTGTATATTTTATTTCTATTAATATTTTTCACACTGAGAACAACAAAATGCTGACATTGCATTATTTGATGATTGTAGTTTGATATCTGAACAGCCAAATCATTCTTGCATTCCCGGGTATATTCCTGCAAAAACATGCAATAATTATAAACAATAATTTTACATATTCTACAATAAATATAAACCCAATGCCCGACTCCATCATTCCGTCTCCCTGTCAGGCGCATAAATCACCATAAATTTGTTGTCCTGGTGCACAAACCCTAAGAATTCAGGGATCTCTCAGAAAACCTCATCCCAATAGCATGCTGTTTAGAGTTATTTCCTATATTAGACAACCCTTTGGATAAATTTTTATTCTAAATTTTAGTAATACACCCTTTCAATAATTACGTCATTTGGCCTGGGAGCCTTGCACTCATAAATTGAGATCCAGGGCTCCAAGAGCAAAATGTATGTGTGACGTAAATATCGAAAAGGGTGTATTTACAGGTTACCCTTAAGAATTTGGTTAAAATTCAGGCAATCTCTGAGAAAACCTCATCCCCAATAGCATGCTGTTCAGAATTATTTCCTATTTTAGACAACCCTTCGGATAAATTTTTATAAAAAAATTTGATAATACATCCTTTCAATAATTACATCATTTGATCTGGGAGCCTTGCATTCATGAATTGTGAGCTGGGACTCCAAGAGCAAAAAGTATGTGTGACGTAATAATCGAAAGGGTGTATTTACAGGTTACCCTGAAGAATTTTGTTAAAATTGAGGCAATTCCTCAGAAAACGTCATCTCCAATACCATGCTGCTCAGAATTATTTCCTATTTTAGACAACCCTTCGGATGAATTTTATCCAAAATTTTAATAATACACCCTTTCAGTAATTATGTCATTTGGCCTGGGAGCCTTGCACTCATGAATCATGATCTGGGGCTCCAAGAGCAAAAAGTATGTGTTACGTAATCATCGAAAGAGTGTATTTACAGGTTACCCTGACAAATTTCGTTAAAATTCAGGCGACCCCTCAGAAAACCTCATCCATAGGGGGGTGTGTATATAAAATGAATGGTCCATTAGACCATTAGGTGAAACACAAATTTACTGTCTTTACTTGTCAAGGTGATAATGCTGGGTATTAATATCAAAATTGCTATTGAAAGATTATTCATGCAATAAACAATAAACATAAATAAATACATTCAACGAAGGGATCTTTGACTCACTGTCCAAGTGGTTAAGTAAACATTAACCTAGCAGCTGAGCCGATCGATCATGTTGAAAAAATATGTATAAATACTATGATTTGACTATACCCAGAGGCATCGATTTGTTAAAATTTTGTACTAAATAAACTACCAAAACAATTAAAAAGCTCATCTTACCCTTTTATCCAATCTTTTTAACTTCTTAGCCGTTGCTCTACCCTGCTTCGTCTTGTTATCTATGGCTATAGAGCTTAACCTTTGCTGTCGCATACGCTCCCGACAGTGAAGCGCTTGTATCGTGTTGCTCTTTTCCACGGCATTTTTACAATTTCGTTGCACAATTATCAAAAAACAAAAAACATACGATTGTAAATGGACACTTTATCTTTCAAATCACACAATAACGAAAACAATCAGAGCATATACAAAAAAGATATAACTAGCCGAAATTTGTGTTTTTTAGCGACTTCTTCTGAAACTTCATAACTAGCGCGAATGCCCGGAAGAAGAACCAGCAAACTAGAATAATAATAAAGTGACCATGGCAATAATTGGGATCAAAATAATCCACAGAATCTCCTCTTTCACACTAGTATATACCTATATATTCTTATACATCCTACAAAGTACGGAAGCAAGAGAAAAGACGCGATTTTCAAAATTAGAATTAGTTACCAGTCTTACATTTTTTCCGGTCGGTAATTAGAAAAATAGTGGACACTTCTAATTGGCGCTTTTGGATGCATTTTTGACAGGCGTGCTATAATCATGACTATTAAGACTATAGTCATGACTATGAAGACTATAGTCATGACTATTTATAATATGGTGAAGACAATAGTCATGACCATTAAGACTATAGTCATTGACTACTACGATTATAGTCATGACTATTAAGACTATAGTTATGATTATTAAGACTATAGTCATAACTATAGTCTTAATGATCATGACCATAGTCTTCACCATAGTCTTAATAATCATTACTTTAGTCTTAATAGTCATGACTATAGTCTTATTAGTCATGACTATAGACTTAATAGTCTTTTCTATAGTCTTCATAGTCTTGAATATGGTCTTACTAGTCATGAAATAGTCTTCACCACAGTTTTCATAGTCGTGACAATAACCAACGGGATAAACATACCTTTTCACCCTTGCTTTAAATCATTTTACTGTGACTCTTGAGTAGTAAACATGTTTTATGAATGCGACATCTGCGGTAAAACGTTTGCAAACTCGAGTAATCGCCTTCGCCACAAGAAGGTTGTCCATGCATATGGAATTCGTAATCTTGGGCAACAAATTCTTACGGTGAACGGAGTTACAGTCATGCAGTATCCTTTCACGTGTATCGTTGCGGGATGTACACAAAGCGGCAAAACCGTATAGGTGAAATCTCTCTTGGAAAATGCTCAAACGTCTATAAATCGTGCTCCTCAACGTATTATTTGGTGTGATGGTCAATGGCAACCGTCCTATTTTGATGTGATGAGGATGATGCCTGGAATCGAGTTTAATCAAGGCTTTCCCAACGATATCGACAACGCAGATCACTTGGACGTATCTCCCCGGAATTTGATCGTATTGGACGATCTCATGGCACAATCTTGCAAGGAGAAACGTATAGCTGATCTTATTAATCAAGGAAGTCATCATCGAAATTTGTCTGTCATCTATATTGTCCAAAATATATTTCATCAGGGCAAAGAAATGAGAAATATCAGCCTTAATGCGCAATAAATCGCGTTGTTAAAATCACCAAGAGATAAGCAAGAAATTTCTATGCTTGCCAGACAAGTAAATTCCGGAAAAGTACAAGAATTTATGAAAATGTTATGAAAATGTTATGAGTTATGAAAATGCTACGAGCCGACCTCACGGGTATTTGATGTTGGTTTTAAAGCCAACAACGAGTGACCAAGATCGACTTAAGACGAATATACTTCCCGGTGAGATTGCAAAGTTTATACAAAACAGTCGTATCGAGAACCACCGCTTCTAAATGCCATATATGATGCCGAGCAGCGAATGAAAAAATCATCGAAGGGCCACAGCTTAGCGCCGTGGAAAAAAGCAAATTATATTCTGATCAGCTAAGCCGGTTTTTGACATTCAAAAATAAGATGGCTAATGCTTCTCCTGGAATTCCTGAAACCTCTGCTCAAAGTATCCCATAAGCGCCTGCAGAGATGCCACAACCCAATGAATTTGTTGAGATAGCCCCACCAGTGCCTGCTATTCCTAAACCTAATTTCCTTACGCCACCACCAACAGAAGAGGAACGACCAAGACTCAAGCGCAACTTTTTCCACAATTGGGTCGACCCAGCAGATTGGACCGATCGAACGTGACCTAGCACGAATGACTTCGGAAACGAGAGAGGATTACGAACGTTTTGTTTTGAGCGACAGACCAAAATATATTCCAATGAAACCGGAGAAAGCAGCAAAGTTATCCCCAGAAGATAGCAAGAATATGAGAACACTTTAAAAATAACCAAAACACCTAGACGTTACGCTCTTAGAAGTACACAGTACTAAATTTTGTAAAATATTTTGAAGAAATAAATGTATTTTAAAACTGAAATCTTGTGTAAACATTGGCCTGCACAGCCCGCTCTTTCCGCCCGCGCGATTTGTCTAACCCGCCCGCCTGATTAGTGTACATATATGTTGTACGTTAATATATGCATGCACCCAAGCGTCGCTAAAGACTGTCAACACATAGTAACGTATATAACGACCGTATATTTGATAAAAAAATATTTATTTTCTATGGCAAAATATATTACAACTGTTCTAAAAGGTTTTTTTCCTTCAAGTATACTTGATAAGCTTTCTTATGATCTGACTCGGTCACCTTAACAGTATATAGGTATGTAGGAGGTTTGTTAAATAATGTTGAACAACATGCAAATATAGAGCATAAAAACGACGTTGACAACCATGTTAACCCGGGATTATTATTTTTCTCCCCTGTTAGAACCAAAATGGCCCGGTTTTAAATAGTCAAAATGACACTATGGGGCCAAATTGGCCCTTCTAAAATTACTGCGTGCGAGCTGAAATGATCCGTTATGTTACATTCTCATTTTTTTTTTCCTTGTTGTGGTTTAGCTGAGCACAAATTACGGATACGTTTGTGATATGATATGCCGACAAGATATTCTTGGTGAGCTGGTGGGAAAAGGTAAAATGAAATTCGAAAAGAAAAAAAGATCTATGTAATAATTACGTTTTTCTGAAGGTGATCTCTTAGTGTAATGATATCTTAGGTATTTTGTTTAATTTTTACAATCCTAACTGTCATTCTAATCTTTACCCTAACCCTAAGACCTAAGTCTATAACTCAAATTTACTTAATCCAGCCCAATCGTAATGTAACCTTGATTTTACCCCAAATCTAACTCCATTCCTACAGTAAAATGCTATTGTCCATCCTTTAACAATCTCGGACATTTCCATTTCACATTATAATTTCCAAGCGAATACAATAATATATAACTTATGAAAATGAATAAATTTCGACTTAAGAAATATATATATATATATATATATATATATATATATATATATATATATATATATGTAAATACGACATTGTACAGACATGGACGCCGGAGGGGGGGGGGGCATCGCATCCCCTGCGCTTTCCTTGGCGGGCAATTGGGTAAAGGTTCCATTGATTTTAGGGAAATATTTGAAATATTCTCAAATTATTTCAGAAAATTTTAGATGTTCGCCAAAGAGTGCTAACGGCGAATCAAGAAACGGTTCTTTAGGGGAAATTGTGCATCACTTGTGTGCACGCAGGCGTCAACTTATGACTACGAAATCGTAAATTTTGGTGGTTTAAACAATCCGTACTAGTACAATTCTAGAAAATATTGTCGACGGGATTTTTTTTAAGAGTACTGTTTATTAGTCTAAATCATTATACTCACATTATTTCTGCACAATAACATTACCAAATATATAGTAACGTAAATCTGTCCACCAAAGTGTTATTTACTCTATTGTGACGTAATTTTCGGAATATTTACATGGAAAGTCACCTGTTGACCTTCTTTACGCGCATTGTTTGAGAAGAATTATTAGTTTCATGTCTAAATTGATTATCAACGTCTAACGTAAATTAACATTATATTAATATTTTTGCGAAAGATTACAAAATCACTTTACCAAAGCCTGCAGCGCCAAGTTTGGTTGATGCAGGATGGCAAACGATCCAATTGCGCCTTAATACGACAGAATTGGAGGAATACAGTGATCTTTATTATATTTTGGAAGTCAAGGCACAATGGGGCCTTCAAGAGAGGAATAATCACTTTGTTGTGTTTCCTTACACAAGGAAATACCACTATGTAAGTGTATTTTAATTTCTTACTCATCCAGACCTGTAACGTATCCAGAGCGACAATTTAGTCCCGCTTTGGAAATTCAAAATTATTATCATTACATTAATTTCTTTAGAAATTGTCCGTTTTCACAGTCAATAAACACGAAAATATTTGCATAGCGGGACTAAAAATCATCAGGCTGCATGCTACGCCACTGATCCAAACAAAAAGTCATTTGCAACATAATGCATTGTCAGCTCTTCATTCAGTACTTAAAGATAATTGAACTGGATGAGACAAGGTGTGTAAATGAAAGACACGGCAGAGAAATTAAGGAGTAACATGCACACGACCAAGTTATAACCTAAACTAGAAATACATCCATGCAGTAACCCCTCGCCAATATTTTCCAAACATTAATTAAATTAACATGAAGTATTCAGAAATGACCAACACTGAACGCAGGTTCGCGCTCAAGTGTTGCCATGACAACACGATATTCTTAAATTTTAAATTTTTTTATATTTTTTGTACAAAACTGCAACATAGTTGAATGATTTGTACTTTTAACTATACAACAATACATTTCCGAAATATATACTGTAGGTATATTATTTTGCATTTTGTGAGCTTTGATTTAATGTAAAATTTAACTTGAAACACTTCGTAAAATGTTTTGAAATGTTCATTCAACTTAATTTCATTTTGCCGATAAACTGTTTTTACATAATAAAACATAATAAGTTTAATACAAATAAAACAAATTGTTAGGTAATTTAAGTTCAGTTTTCAAATCAATTTGTTCGCCTTTACATTTTAATATTTTTTCTCAAATTAAACGGTAATTTATGAGTTTCGTTGAAAAGGAAAACAGTTCATGTTTTTAGGCAAAAAGTTAAAGCAACAAAATTCGTAAACATTGAATATTCAAAGCAAACTTGCGGTATATTTCACGATTTCCAATGGTAAATCAATTCTTCTCATTTCTTCAAACAAAGCTGCTTCAAGCTTGTTGTATGTTAAACGATTTTCGAAATATATGTCTTTTAAAATTGAAAACTTGCTTATCCCACTCCTAGATGCCATCAGCCATATTGTTATCAGTGAGGATGACCACCCACTCAAGATTGTAGATCGTTGGTCACGCCCGCGATCATTGATGAACTTTAGACTTCGCTAAAGCTTTCGTTTCTCCTGGTGTAAATAGCCGGCGAAATTAGTACCCTCGCCGTCGGCTCGGGGATGACATATTCGTAAAGTCATTGAATTTGTTTTCTGTATACATGGTCGATTGCCAAAAAATAAATAAGGCTTATGATCAATTTAAACACTTGACAATCTATGATTTTCCACTTGTCCTGACGACGGACAAACTCCCTTCCCATGTATGTACAATATCTGCATTGATTCTAACAATATAATATTAATTGATAATACATTTTACCCACTAGACCAACGAAACAACATATGCCGTTAAAGATCTTGAACCGAATACTGGTTATAAATTCCGAGTGATCGCAATAAAATTGGATAAATCGTCACCATATAGCAACTGGAGTACCGTTTTTAATACTAAAGGTAAGTGCAAAACTGACACTCTTTTAAAGCCAGGATTATCCAGTGGAA